TTAAGTTTTCAACAAAATCTCATTTATTTCCAATTTAATATTCGACCGGATGTTAGCTCTCGATTAAAATATAGACATTCTTGTAATAATAGTTTCTCGAGATATTACCTAGTTTGCTTATAATTTGAGGTAAATTTCTAAATTAGTCAATTATAACTAATAGCATCGTTTATTAACACAACACTAGGTCGGCGTTAAAAATAACTACAGCTATTTGCTTTTTATGTGCAAAGTATTATTGGTTTTTCAACAGATTAAACCATAATTGGAGTACCGTAACTTAAGATATAGTTGATCAAGTTTAAAATATTGCTTTTTTGCAGTTCTAAAAAACCGATTAACTATATAGAAAATAATCTAATAAATGGTCCTAGAAATATCGCTATATCTTTAAATTTGAAGCCTTAGGGGAATAACAAGGAATGTCACTTAAAGTTGAATTTGAGAATATTTAATTTTAATATTTGTAATTGTGTAACTCATTATTTTAAAGGGATAACCTGCGATCTATTTTTAACTCTTTGCCGTTAGTCTATTTCCTAATAAGTTTAAATAATAAAAAGGTATTTATTTTACTTGTAGCTAACTCAATATGTACTTTAGAGTGCCTTCTCATATCGGCATCCAAGGAAATGAGATGAATGACAGCGCTGCAAAAAAAACATCTACATCCAACTTACCCGTCTACAACATACAGCTCTAAGATGGTATAAAATCAAAATTATAAAGGAATATCCAATTGGATCACCAAAGACACAAAGCTCAGAGAAAATACAACCTAATTGTTAACGGCTATTTTATCCCTAGCATCTCTGAACAGAAAAGAGAAGATAGCAATACGAAGATTGAGGACAGAACACACACGTTTGACACACAATCACATTACATCCTCTGCAGACCAACAGTTATGCTCCCACTGCAACGATATTCCTATTACCATCAAGCACATCCTCACAGATTGTCAACATTACCAGACCACTCGCATTGCCAACAATATAACCCACAGTTTAAAAGAACTTCTGAACTGTTCAAGCCAACTCAACAGCCTAATAGACTTTTTAAAGACTACACATCTATCTATCTATCTAATCAGCCTTAACGCCCACTCTTTTGCATAGGCCTTCCCTGTTAATCTCCATTGGTCTCTATTTGGGCGATCTGCATCCAGTCCTTTCCTGTCATTCTCTTAAGGTCGTCAGTCCATCTCATCTGTGTCTTCCTCGTTTTCTTTTCTTTTCCCATGGTCTCCAATGTAGAATTCGCTTTATTCTTTATCTTTCATCTTTTTGCCGGAGAGTGTGACCGGCGAAGTTCCATTTAAGTTTGCAACCTGTCTGATACATCGTTCACCTTTGTTTTTTCTCTGATCCATGAGTTTATTTTCCTGTCTTTAAGACCGATACCAGCATCTGTCTTTCCATTGCTCTTTGTGTTTTGGATATCCTGTCGATGTTCTCCTTTGTGAAAGTCCATGTTTGTGATCCATATGTGATAAATGGTAAAATGCACTGATTGAATACTTTCGTTCGCATTTATTGAGGGAACTTTTTATTTTTTAGAATATATGATGCTTACAAATGAGGCCCATGCTGGTCTAGTCTTTTTATTTCTTCTGTTTGATTGTCCCTGTTCAGCTTTATTATCTGTCCTAGGTATATGTATTCTGCCACCTGCTCTAATTTATTCTGTTTGATACTATTTCTAATTGGTCTTCTTGGTTTGTCATAGTCATGGTTTTACATAGTTCATCTCTAGATCTACCTCTGTCGGTTTTCTATCTAGTTCCTCAACCATCTTCTGTAACTCTTTCTTCTTATCTGTTATCAGGACTATATCGTCTGCATATCTCAAGTGGTTCAAGAGCTCTCCGTTTATTTTTATTCCGTATGTATCCCATTCTAATTTTTTAAATGTCTTCCATAGCCTGACTGAACAATTTTGGTGATATTGTGTCTCCTGCCTGATTCCTCTTTCGAATTTATTGGTTCTGTAGCGTGTTCGTTCGTCAATTTTATTGTGGTACTCGCATTTTTGTATATGTTTGGTATTAGGTCCGTGTACCTGTAATCAATTCTGCCGTTCTGTAGTGAGTTTTTGATGGCCCAATGTTCTATGCTGTCAAACGCCTTTCGGAAGTCTATGAATGCCATGTATAAGGGAATTTGATACTCGTTTCGACTTTTCAATCAGTATTTTTACTGTTAGCAGATGGTCGCTAGTATTAAAACTCTTTCTGAATCCCGCTTGTTCTCTTGCTTGGTATTCGTCAAGCTTAGTTGTTAGTCTATTTGTCATGATCTTCGTTAGTAGTTTAAATACAACACTTAGTAATGTTATAGGTCTATAGTTTTCTAAGTTCTTTCGGTCACCTTTTTTGAACATGAATAGTATCTCCGCATCGTTCCATCTATCGGGTATTTCTTTTGTGGTCAATATTTTGTTCATAAGGATATGTAGGACTTCTCTAGTTGTTTTCCCTCCTCTCTTCAGCATCTCTGCAGTTATTCCATCTTTTCCAGGTTACTTATGGTTTTTTAATTCTTGAATTGCTTTCATGATTTCTGTTTTACTTATTTCTGGTTGTAGGTCAGAGTTTATATTTTTTATTTTTGTGTTTAATTGTTAGGTGCGTATAGTATTCTTATGTCAACTTTATTATTTGTTTCATATCATTAATGGTTGTTCCTTCGCTGTTTTGTCATTTCATTTATCTGAGTTTTACCGAGTCGTTGTTTTAAACATTTCATATTTTTGTTCTGCTGGATTACTCTTTCGATCTTTGCTTCCTGCGTTTTTCTCATGGTTTCTTTTATGTTTTTTGTAATTGTTTTATTGATTTCAGTATATTCTGCTGTGTTTCTTTTGCCCTGTTCAAGTAGGCTTCTTCTTGTCTTCATCAGGTTTTCTACTTCTTCTGAGATATAACTGTCCTTTTTTGTCGTCGATTTTGCAATTCTTTCTCCGGCCTGTAGCAATGTAGTTGTTATTATTTTATTTATTTCGTTTGTTTCTTTATTTCTTAAGTCGGTTGTATTTGGGATGCATTTTTTTATTTCTTCTTTGTACTTTTCTTCGTTTTGGCTAAGTTTCTTTATATCTAGTTTTTGTACGTTTTTGATTTTCTTTCTGATTTCAAATTGGCTGTTAATTTGTATCTTAGCCTTCACCATTCGGTTATCGCTGCCTGTTGTGAAAAGGTTTAGTACTGTGACATCCTTGACTACGTATTTTTGTGTTGATAATATGTAGTCGATCTCGTTCTTAGTTTTGGTGTCAGGGCTATCCAGGTCCATTTTCTCTGTGGCTTCTTGTTGAAAAAGGAGTTCATGGTGTAGAGTTTCCTTTCCTCCATGTAGTTCATCAGGGCTGTCCCTCTTTCGTTTCGTACACCATATCTATATTTTCCTATTTTTGTCACTTCGTCATTTAGTCTTTGTCCTAGCTTGGCGTTGAAATCTCCCATCACAATTGTTAGTCGGGTCTTTTCTTCATCCAATGCTTTTAATATTTCTTCATAGAATGTTTCAATGTCTTCATCTGAGTATGTACTGGTTGGTGCGTATATCTGAATTAGTTTCAAAGTTGTTCCTTTAAATTTAATTATCATATATGCCACTCTATCTGATATTCTTTTGATAGTTTGTACATGTTTACCAATTCTTTTATTGATTATAAATCCTACTTCGTTTTTTTGTATCGTCTGATTTGCCCTTGGAGTGCAGTATATTATAAAGACTACACATAGTTGTTTTAAAGTTATAGTTTACATAATATTGTTATTGTAAACCATTGTAAAAACAAGTTAAATATGTTAGAGTTACTAAAAGGTATTTTGTATTTAAATGTAATTGGAAATTAATTACTATTTAAATGGGAATAAGCCACAATTAAAATTTAAATAATAACTTTATTCAAGTTTAAAGACTGTTTAACAAGTTATCAGAGAGGATTAATTACACATCATTACAGTAAGACCCCTCATTTTTATGGGAGTACCGAAAATTCATAAAACGAATATACCACTTAGACCCATTTGTAGTACCATGAATTCTCTTTATAGTGAACTATCAAAATTTTTATTAAATATTTTAAAAAACATTTGCAAATAAAATGACACATTTATAAAAAATACACATTTTTAAATAAATTATCAATATTAAATTTAATTCAAATAATACTTTGGTAAGTTTTGACATAAATAGTTTTATATACGAATGTGCCATTAGATAAGACTTTAAATATAGTCAAGACAAAATTACAGACTGATGATGCATTGACAACTAGAACAAGACTAAACATATCGGCTATAATGGAGTTATTAACATTATGTACTGATAATACATATTTTCAACTAAATAATGAATTCTATAACAAAATTTTGGTCTAGCAATGTCTAGTTTATCTCCGTTATTAGCCGATATATTTATAGAAGATTTTGAAACAAATATCATTTCTAAACAAAATTTAAAACCCACAGTATGGTGGAGATATGTAGAGGATGTATTCTCAATAAGGTCTCATGGATCAGAGTTGTTGGATACATTCCTAAATGATATAAACGGTAAAGAAGAGACAATAACATTTACCATGGAAAAAGAATATAATAACACGCTACCTTTCCTGGATGTTTTAATCTCTAAGAACGATACTGGATATGAGACTCAGTGTATAGAAAACCAACACACACCAATAGATATTTAAATTTCAAATCAAATACAATATTATATTTAAAAGGGAATCATTAAATCCTTATACGATAGAGCCAAAATTACTTGTTCTAACGAAAATTTGTTCTTGAGGAGAAACATTTGTTAACATCTGTTTTATTAAAAAATGTCATATCTTTCTCAAACATCGCCAATTAGCTTGTTCATTTTTCTTAAAACTGGATGTTCCATATGAGTATTAAGAAAATAAGCATATAACTTTAAAATTGTTTGTATACAATTACTCCCAAATACTTTAAATTCATTTAATTGATTTATTTCTGTTATTTTCAGGCCTTCACGTTCGTACTCACATAAATGGCAGTAATCATCAACCTCATTCGCCAACCTATGGAGGTTATAGTCCAAATAATTATAGTTATCATCAAGAGACTTCTCCATCTTACCAATATGGACGATTTGACGCCAGTGCCCTTCACATAGCCCACGCCTTGAAGCAGACAGAGTTACAGAAATCTTACAAAGTTCATAGAGAGAAGCCTATAGACTGTTACTTGGTAAGTTTACTTCGTTTCTTTAGTCGATTGATTTAAAGTAATAAAATCTACAAAGGTAAAATGAAAATAATGAAATGGTTGCACATGTGAGTTCATTTCAAACAGGGATATAAAAATAAATTTTAGACTTACTCACAATCTTTTATTTAGCTTAGGACGACCTGTTTCGACCACTGCAATTTTCTGGTCATCTTCAGATCTCCGGAAAAGTTAAATAAAATGATAAAACAATAACATATTAGAACTAAAATAGTTCTATCAGGTTTGTTGCAAGCAGTGTTAATATAATATAAAATATTTGTTGAAAAGTTGAAGATTCAAAAGACCAGAAATATTTTATTAAAAGAAAACCATGAATTATTAAAAGATCAAAATAAGCTTATGAAAGAAAGAAATGAGTTACTAAAATCTGTTGTAACAGGAACCAAACCATCTCTGTCCCAATTAATATTGAAGCAAAATTAAGTTTAGTTTAAGTTAATTTTAAAAGGTTAGAAGGGTGTGAAATTTATAAAGCATATGTTGTCTTTTATTTGAGTAGTTACCAGATTTTAGCAGGAGGAACTGCAAATAAACACTTCATTTATTAACATTTCCTTTAGTATTAAGAATCAGTAGTTAATAAGTAAATTAATAGAACACGTTATGACTCATTATTAGATGGTTTGCAACGTTGTCCCTCATTTGCATTCCATCTCTATGATCTGCTTCCTCAATATGAAGAATTACAAATCCAACATCCACTATTTTTCACTTGATGCATTCACTGTTGTCACTATTGTTGCTTATGTACATAATTTTATAATGTAAAAAAGCTAACTTTCTATATATAACTAATGTATCTTCGGTATGTCTGTGAGAGTTCACTACCTGCGACTTATTTGTTCCATAGGACAAATTTGTAGAGCTGCAACTTACTCCTGCTGCAATGTAGTCCCCAGATCAGTGTCAATTTTGAAGCGGCTCATTTACCAAATCGAGTTGGCTACTACTGGCTGGTATATTCCCAGTTTTCTTTTTTTGTTACTATAATGTGAAAATTGTGATGGAAGTTATATAATTTGAAATACGTATTTGCTCTACAGGTATCCCTAAAACGCAATCTCCCTTATTTTCCGATATAATTTTGATTGATCTACTGAATAAGCTTTCAGTTAGCTAAATTTTTCGCTTTTTCAGTCATTTACAAAAATATGAAAAATCGTGACTGTTGGTATAACCTTCGAATTATAAGATTTTGTATAGAATAATTTTATGATGACATCGTTTTCTCATTGATTACATGTCTAACAAAAATGTTTAGTGTATTAATACCACATAAATGTTCATATTGTCAACCTACGCCAACTTTGTTCATTAAAGAAACATTTCCTCAATACATTATACTGAATAGTTTTCAGTTTTCTCTTGAGTTATTAATTTCTCGGTGGTTTATGATCGACAGAAAAAAAACCGCAAAAGGTTTATTATGATTTTTTATGTCAGTTGTAAACAGCTGGTTTCATCATCTGTTAGAGTAAGTAAACATAAAAGAATAGTGAAACTTTTTCACAGATAGCCGTTCGGTTAATAGTAACATTAATGATTAATGTTCTTAAAAAATACTGTGTATTTGAAATTTCTCTTCTTTGTTTTTTTTTTTGAGTAGAATACAGAGTTGGATCTGTGCAAAATTTAACTATCGGTATAAAAGATGTAATCAAATCATTATTTGTGAGTAATTGTTAATAATTATTTTAATTGTTAGTATTGAATTGCGTTTTTGACGTTTCATATTTTAAAGCTGTTTCAAAATATATTCCCGCGCCAATTTACTACAAATAACGAAAGTAGGTATTATTACACAATTATGTTTCACAAATGACTTTGAAACATATGTGGCCTTATTTAGGACACACGCGAGTCTTAGCTCATCTTTAATGCTAATTTTCATGTTTGTTTCAACTATTATCGCCAAGCTAGGACAAAGACTAAATGACGAAGAAACAAAAATAGGAAAATATAGATATGGTGTACGAAACGAAAGAGGGAAAACCCTGATGAATTACATGAAGGAAAGGAAAACTCTACGCCATGAACTCCTTTTTCAACAAGAAGCCACAGAGAAAATGGACCTGGATAAGCCCTGACACCAAAACTAAGAACGAGATCGACTACATATTATCAACACAAAAATACGTAGTCAAGGATGTCACAGTGCTAAACCGTTTCACAACAGGCAGCGATCACCGAATGGTGAAGGCTAAGATACAAATTAACAGCGAATTTGAAACCAGAAAGAAAATCAAAAACGCAGGAAGCAAAGATTGAAAGAGTAATCCAGCAGAACAAAAATATGAAATGCTTAAAACAACGACTCAGTAAAACTCAGATAAATGAAATGACAAACAGCGAAGGAACAACCATTAATGATATGAAACAAATAATAAAGTTGACACAAGAATACTATACGCACCTATACAGAACAAGACATAAACCATTCAAGAATTAAAAGACCATAAGTCACCTGGAAACGATGGAATCACTGCAGAGATGCTGAAGAGAGGAGGAAAAAACAACTAGAGAAGTCCTACATATCCTCATGAACAAAATATTGACCACAAAAGAAATACCGGTAGCTGGAATGGTGCTGAGACACTATTAATGTTCAAAAAAGGTGACCGAAAGAACTTAGAAAACTACAGACCTATAAAGATCATGACAAATAGACTAACAACTAAGCTTGACGAATACCAAGCAAGAGAACAAGCGGGATTCGGAAAGGGTTTTAGTACTAGCGACCATTTGCTAACAGTAAAAAATACTGATTGAAAAGTCGAACGAGTATCAAATCCCATTATACATGGCATTCATAGACTTTGGATCAGCAGTCGTTCGTACAGAACCAATAAAATTCGAAAGAGGAATCAGGCAGGGAGACATAATATCACCAAAATTGTTCAATCAGGCTATGGAAGACATATTTAAAAAATTAGAATGGGATACATACTGAATAAGAATAAATGGAGAGCTCTTGAACCACTTGAGATATGCAGACGATATAGTCCTGATAACAGATAAGAAGGAAGAGTTACAGAAGATGGTTGAGGAATTCGATAGAAAAGCGACAGAGGTAGGTCTAGAGATGAACTGTAGTAAAACCAAGACTATGACAAACCAAGAAGACCAATTTTTAGAAATAGTAGTCAAACAGAATAAATTAGAACAGGTGGCAGAATACGTATACCTAGGACAGATAATAAAACTGAACAGGGACAATCAAACAGAAGAAATAAAAAGAAGAACTAGACTAGCATGGGCCTCATTTGGTAAACTATCATATATTCTAGAAAAATAAAAAGTTCCCTCAATATATGCGAACGAAAGAATTCAATCAGTGCATTTCATCAGTTATCACATATGGCTCACAAATATGGACTTTCACAAAGGAGAACATCAACAGGATATCCAAAACACAAAGAGCAATGGAAAGACAGATGCTGGGTATCGGTCTTAAAGACAGGAAAAGAAACACATGGACAGAGAAAAAACAAAGGTGAACGATGTATCAAGACAGGTTGCAAAACTTAAATGGAACTTCGCTGGTCACATTCTCCGGCAAAAAGATGAAAGATGGAATAAGCGAATTCTACACTGGAGACCATGGGAAAAGAAAAGAAAACAAGGAAGACCACAGATGAGATGGACTGACGACCTTAAGAGAACGACAGGAAAGGACTGGATTCAGATCGCCCAAAACAGAGACCCATTGGAGATTAAAAGAGGAGGCCTATGCCCAAGAGTGGGCGTTTAAGGCTGATTAGATAGATAGATAGATAGATTATGAAATGGGTTTGATACAGTTTATTACAGTTCCACATAGTCTAACATGTATACTCTAATAATTCCTAGTTGTTTGATTAACGATGTGGACGACACAGTTTTGTTGTTTACCAGTTGAAGTTAAGTCCAAACAAGTTATCGTTATTATTTGAACACAGCACAAAACAAAATAACAATTTTTGTTGATAAAAAACCTTTTATAGAAAATATAAAACTAATATTGTAGTTATTTAATGTAAGTTACAAAAGGAACACAAATTATTGGGTATGGTTATCATCATCTTTATGTATGCTGATATGCTTTAGGTTGACATAAAAATCATGAAAATACTTTGGAACCTGTTTCAATAATGTCTAAAGATGCTTGTATTGTTTTTCGGAGATTGGATTATCATCATCCCTTACAATTTATATTTTCTCAAGAAATACGACTGCTGTAATACGACTGTAATAATATGAATTAAATTGACTACCTGAAATTCCTTTTCTTTAAAATTAATTTTATAGTACAGTGTTCCATACTTTTCTTCCTTATTTGTAAATATAACATTTTTGATGAGACATCCATGCCATCCACATTTTTTTTTTTCTAGACAAAAATGGAGACGTAATGTCGCTATATAATAGCTTCAAATCTTTGAAATCGCTTGTCTCCATATTAATCACCTCGAACGAATTAGTTTTGCTACGCATTCTAGCTAATTGTTGCCAGTTCCAGAGAGACATGATTTGAAAACTAGCACTCTTCTTCTTTTCGCATTCTATTAATGAATGTCAAGCATCAGCTTCTAAGTGAGTATGACCACGCAATAAAAATTTATGTGTAATGGTTTTCAACGATGAATTTTTTTTAATATATAAAAATGAGCTATAACAATGTGTATGTTCGATTGTTCGAATGTTTCGATTTTGAGATGGACAGTTATCAGACCATACAATAATTTCTTTTTGGTGAGGTTTAACTTGTAATAATGTTCACTTTAGCAATCCTGATGCCATTTCATTTGTACCGCGTCCTGATTTGGACTCGTCCCACATCAAACAAGTAAGTAGCATTATTAGTGACATCATAAATTGTGTAATTATACGTCCAAAGTTTTAAGAGTAAAAGCTTTCGTGTTAGTTAACACTGGTGTTGGCAGGCATTTTTGTAAATCGACGCATATCATAATTGTTGT